ACGTGGAAAGAGTTCGAGAAGCTATGGTTCACCCGGTTCATGGTCCGCAACGTCATGAAGGCGGCCATGAACGAGGTGTACACCTGCTCTCAAGGAAATATGCCAACTCGAGACTGGACAACCAAGTGGCAGAAGATAGTGACCACGCCAGGATTCGATTTGAGTTTTCCAAATCAACGATCCGAGTTCTTCTCGCGATCGTGCGCGGGACTGCGGTCGGCACTCGGCAACGAGTACGACTATGACACGTTCCAGGCCATTCTGGATCATGCGAACTTAGTCATCCAAACGGATGACAAGGCCGCAAACGAACGGCAGTCCCAGCCGCATTATGTGGCTAAGCAGGGCTATCAACGTCCGGCACATAACAATGCCGTGATTTCTGAAGAAACAGACGATCTCCACGCTGCAGCAGCATCCTCGAGTGATGGAGGAATTGTAGCAGCGCTCCCGCCGAAGCGTCCCAAGAGAGTTCGGAAGAACAAGGCGACACAAGAGACARCATCGACGGGMACWGGGCAGCAGCCATGGACGGCTTACAAGATAACCAAGGATGTCTATGACCTTCSTCAAAAGTACGGATACTGCATCTGGTGCAACGGCGTCACTCATGTGACCGCACAATGCCCCGAAAAGGGCAAGGCACGCGTACCCCGTCCAGCAAACTCGGGAAACTGAGTTACGCAAGGAGAGGTCTCTCCTCACTCCGCCGGACCCGGTTGCCTTGCTAGCAATCGATGTCACTACCGGGGAGCATGCGTTAGTCGCTGATTCTCGTGCCACGTATGAGGATTATGCCGCCCAGCTGGTACCACCATTAGACCAGCCAAGCCACGTGCACTTAGCTAGCGTATGCGCAGCCTGTACACCGTCCGCAAGTGATCCGGTCAGTTCGCCACTGATTTCCGAGGACTCGACAGCGTGGTCAAGACTTGAGGAGCTTGACCCGCTCACGAGAGAGGACTTCGCTTGGATGCCTCTACCCTCGACCGGAACCTTGCCAAGGCCGCATTGCAACGCCTTGATGGCAACTCTACGCTCCTATTTGCACACTACAGTACCAGCTCCGTTGACGGACGACGGGGTAGCGGTTATCGATCTTCGCTCCTATCTTGCGAAGATTGACGGCAAGTACGCCACCCAAAGGTACGCCGAAACAGACGCACCTCTGCTCTATATCCGCATCCAAATCGGAAAGGCAACCTGTAGTGCCTTGATTGATTGCGGAGCGTCTCGCAACTTTATGAGCCAAGCCTTTATGGCCCGTGCAGGTCTTGGCCCGCGCGTTCGAAGGAAGACGCAACCTACGCAAGTTACACTCGCGGACGGCCGCACGCAAAAGTCAATTGACCGATGCGTTGACGGCGTTCCGGTCTACTTTGCGCCACTTGCGTGCGAGCCGGTGTCTTTTGACATCCTCGACACCAAGTTCGACATGATTCTAGGCATGTCTTGGTTGCGTAGTGCCGATCATCCGGTGAACTTCCATAACCGAACCGTTCACATCCGTGATCGGAACGGAGTGTTAGTCCCATGTACGGTCGCGACCCCTCACACTTCGATTGCTTGTCACGTGGTTTCCGTTGYGCGAATTCGCGACGCCATTGCTCGGAATGACGTCGAGGAGATGGGCCTTGTATTCTTGCATGCTCTCCCCTCGCCGGACGGACCAGCCGCGTCACCGCCGGACCCACGCATTTCTCACCTCTTGGACGAGTATAGAGACGTCTTCGAGGCTCCCACCGGAACGGTTCCGCATCGGCCCATACGTCACGAGATCACTCTCGAGGCTGGCGCCGTCCCTCCGCGTGGATGTATCTACCACATGTGCGAAGAGGAACTCGACGTGCTTCGCGCATAACTCGATGATCTTCTCGATAAGGGCTGGATTCGCCCTAGTCGCTCGCCATACGGTGCACCTGTTCTCTTCGTCCGGAAGAAGAACAAAGAGCTACGGTTATGCATCGACTATCGGAAACTTAACGCACAAACCGTAAAGAACG